AATTTCACGCACACTCTTTGTTCCTTCTGGTCGGCCATCTCACTAATCGCCAAAGGGTTGAAACAGGAACGCACACAACAGAGCACCACAGACAAACCACTTAACTCAGACTGACGCCAGCTCACTAACAGTCGCGGGAGACCCCCAGCTAACACCACCCAGCAGCACAACTCGTAACTACAAAGCATTCGCGCGCAACAGGTCGGTTCCGGTTATTTTTGGGTCCCCCTTCGTATATTGAATAAGCAGTTGTGGACAGCCTACAAGGGGTGGCCCTCCAGCTTGGGGGTTGGGCGTGGGGCTAACAACTCCTCACTGTAAAAAATTATTATGTTACGAAAATTAACACAAAGCCTCGAACCTGGACTGATTCCTTGGATAAATGACCGAAGCTAATGAAAATGAATATGAGATTTGGCACTTGGAACGTACAAAGTTTGTATAGGGCAGGTTCGCTCAGGGCAGTGGCAAAAGAAATCTTAAAATATAAGTTAGATTCAGCGGGAGTACAGGAGGTCAGATGGAATGGAGGTGGCATCACACCAGCAGGAGACTACACATTTTTCTATGGAAAGGGGAATGAAAATCATGAATTAGGTACAGGTTTTTTGTACATAAGAGAATCGTATCAGCAGTTAAGAAGGTAGAATTCGTTAGTGATAGAATATCATATATAATACTAAAAGGTCATTGGTGTGATATCATTGTTATGAATGTTCACACCCCAACAGAGGATAAAATTTATGACATAAAGGATAGATTCTATGAAGAACTAGAACATGTATTTGATAAATTCCAGACGTACCCTATGAAAATTTTGTTAGGAGATTTCAATCCCAAAGTAGGGAGGTAAGACATTTTCAAACCAACAATTGGGAATGAGAGTTTGCATGAAATTATTAATGATAATGGAGTTAGAGTAGTAAATTTTGCCACATCAAAAAATCTTACTGTCAAAAGTACATTGTTCCCACATCGTAACATCGATAAATTTACTTGGACATCTCCTGATGGGAAGATACACAATCAAATAGACCATATTTTGATAGATAGGAGACGGCACTCAAGTATGCCTGATGTCCGATCATTCAGAGCAGCAGATTGTGATAATGACCACTACCTGGTGGTGGCAAAGGTTAGGGAAAGACTGGCAGTGAGCAAATAAACAACACAAAGTTCATATGGAGAGGTTCAATCTCAAGAAATTAAATGAGGTAGAGGGTAAAGAGGAGTATCGTGCTGAAATCTCAAATAGGTTTGCGACTTTGGAAAACTTGGACACTGAGGTGGATGTTAATAAAACTTGGGAAACTATTAGGGAGAATATAAAAATGTATGCCAAAGAGAGTCTAGGTTATTATGAACCAAAGAAGCATAAGCCATGGCTCGATGAAGGATGCTCATAATTATTAGATTAAAGAAAGCAGGCCAAACTGAAAAGGTTACAGGATCCAAGCGAGTTAAATGGGGATAATCTAAACAATATAAGACGCGATGAAACCAGCAGGCATTTCAGGAACAAAAAGAGGGAATATCTGAAAGACAAAATTGATGAGCTTGCAATGAACAGTAAGAACAAGAATATTAGGGACCTGTATAGAGGAATAAATGACTTTAAGAGGGGCTACCAGCCTAGCAGTAACTTAGTGAAGGATGAGAATGGTGATCTGCTTGCAGATTTCCACAACATTTTGAATAGGCGGAGGAACTACTTCTCTCAGCTATTGAATGTACATAGGGTCCGTGATGTTAGGCAACCAGAAATCAATACTGCTGAGCCATTAATACCCGATCCTAGCCCTTTTGAGGTTGAAAGTGCTATTGCAAAATCGAAACGGTATAAATTGCCAGGTAGAGATCAAATTCCGGCAGAACTTATTCAAGCAGGAAGCGAAATATTACGTTCTAAGATCCACAATCTAATTACTTCTATATGTCTTAAGGAAAAACTGCCTGATCAGTGGAAGGAGTCTATTATTGTACCAGTTCACAAGAAGGGTGATAAAACTGACTGTAGTAATTATCGGGGGATATCACTGCTATCAACTTCATATAAAATTCTGTCAAATATTCTTCTTTCAAGGTTAAGTCCGTATATAGATGAAATTATTCGGGATCATCAGTGTGGGTTTTGACGTAACAGATCAACTACAAATCAGATCTTTTGCAGTCATCAGATATTGGAAAAAAAAATGGGAGTACGATGAGACAGTACATCAGCTATTCATAGACTTCAAGAAAGCCTACAATTCAGTTAGGAGGGAAGTATTGTACAATATTCTGATAGAGTTTGGGATACCCATGAAACTAGTTAGGTTGATTAAAATGTGTTTACACAAAATGTACAAGGTCCATATAAAAAGTATCGGGAAAAATCTTTCCCTTACGTGACTGTACACCGCAGCACGCTCGCACCGCGCAGGCGTGGTAGTGGGGGTCTAACCTTTAATACGCGCGCGCCATGCGCCATTCGCCTGAGCGCATTCGTAGAGGCCAGGCCGTGTTTTCAGTGGACCCCTGTCGAGTGAGTCAGTGCAAGCGCAGAATGCAGCAAACGATTGAACAGAGGTACGCCATCAAGTTTTGTGTTGGACTGGGGAAATCGGGTACGGAGACGTTGGGCATGATTCGCCAAGTGTTCAAGGATGAAAGCATGTCACAAACCGCAGTTTTTAAGGGGCACAAGCTCTTCAAAAGTGGCTGACAGAGTGTGGAGGATGAGCCCCGCGGTGGATGGCCATCGACGTCAAGAACCAACGACAACGTGCAACGTGTGCGTGACGTACTCAATTCAGACCGTTGGTTAAGTGTGCGCATGATTGCAGATCGTGTTGCCATTGATAAGATGACGGTGCACACCATTATCACTGAAGATTTGGCGATGTGAAAGGTCTGCGCGAAACTCATCCCGAAGGTCTTGATGGATGACCAAAAGCAGAGACGAGTGGCTGCTTGCGAAGACCTTCTGCAACGTG